AGAGCAGATGTTTCATTATTGGTGGGGAGGGGAGAAAAGTCTGGCTCGATTATTCTCAGCTGCGACCCAGGACTCTGGAGCGGCTTCCACACACCCACAGCTCCTTCCGGAGACCTCCGCCCGCTTATCTTTGGGGACCTGTGGTCCCTCCCTAGCCCACTGTTCTGGCGAACTGCGGCCGCCTGATGCAGTGCCACCAGCCTGCTGAGGGCTACAGTGGCTTCTCCAGGGCTCCGGGCACTCCGGAATCTGCCGTGAAATAAATGCATGCTGCCCGTGGAAGGCAGATAGATACAGAAGTTCTCTGTAGTTAGCAAGGGGAATGGCTGGGAGGCAGCAGTGGCAAACTCTGATTGTTCTACAGTTTTGCCAACAAGAATAGTTCTCAATACTGGCTGCATGGCAGAATCTCCAGCAATTTAAAAATATACCAATCGAATGTGTACTTTTTTTGTATATTGTATATTAATAAAAAGTTTATACACGCATACATATGGCTAGATAGATGATAGATGCCAACTCCATCTATCAAGCATCTCATTCTCCATGAATGAGAATCTGTGTAGGTGGGGCCTAAACCTGATTTTTTTTTTTGAGAGGGAGTCTCGCTCTGTCGCTCAGGGGGGAGTGCAGTGGCACAATCTCGGCTCACTGCAAGCTCCACCTCCTGGGTTAATGCCATTCTTCTGCCTCAGCCTCCCGAGTAGCTGGGACTACAGGTGCCCGCCACCACGCCTGGCTAATTTTTTGTATTTTTAGTAGAGACAGGGTTTCACTGTATTAGTCAAGATGGTCTGGATCTTCTGACCTCGTGATCCGCCTACCTCGGCCTCCCAAAGTGCTGGGATTACAGGCGTGAGCCACCACGCCCAGTCAAACCTGATTTTTTAAACCTTTCTCAAGTGACCCCAATTTGCACTCAAGGAAGAGAACTGTTGCTCTATGAACTTCTCCATCATCTTAAAGATCCAAGTCCAGATCACCACCAAGCCAGAATCACTTTTAAAATTTTTAAATGGAGGGGATGAAGGAGTGTCTGAGGACATTCAGGGTCGACAGAGATGCCCTAGGGCAATGCTCTGTCTTCTATAACAATGTGTGACTGGCCTGTTAACACAGGGGAAACTGAGGCACGGTGCTGAGCCTGAGGTGTTGATGGTGGTTCTAATAGAAACCAGCTCATGGTTTCTATTAGAATCCAAGGGTCCAATAAACACTTGGAAAATTTCGATGAATTTATTCCAACACCTTCACTCTCTCTTTTTTTTTTTTTATTTGAGACAGTCACACTCTGTCGCCTGGCTGGAGTGCAGTGGCACAATCACGGCTCGCTGCAACCTCCGCCTCCTAGGTTCAAGCGATTCTCCTGCCTCAGTCTCTCAAGTAGCTGGGATTACAGATGCACGCCACCACGCCCAGCTAATTTTTTGTATTTTTAGTAGAGATGGAGTTTCACCATGTTGGCCAGGCTGCTCTCAAAATCTTTGCCTCAAGTGATCCACCCACCTCAGCCTTCCAAAGTGCTGAGATTACAGGTGTGACCCACTGCGCCCAGCCCACTCTCTGTCTTAAACCCAAGTAAGAGTGTTATTCAGAGATTCAATCCAGGTTTATTGAACCCCCACTATGTAGCTGATCCAGTGTTGATGCCAGAGATACCATATATATTTGCCTCATCCACAGAGCTTACAACCAGGGCTGGTGGGTGTGAGGGGCAGACATTCAACAAAGTAACACACAAATAGTTGCTGCAGGTTACTAATTTTTATAACCATCTATTTATTTCTTCCTCCCTGATTTGCCTCAGACACTGACGAATCTAATGTGAAGGTCCAATGTTCAGTGTGCCTCTTGCCCTGCATGTTTTGGGGCCTCCCTTAGCTCTGAAGCCAGAGAATCGCAACTCAAACTCACCTAGCAACTGTGTAGCTTTGAGCAAGTTTCTTAACTTCTGTGCTTCAAGGAAATCACAAAAAGTGCTCAATACTTCCCTCCACATAAATCTTTTTGATTAGCCCAGGTTGATTCCTGGGCTCTTGAGCTTTTTGTACTACAAATAAAATCTTTAAAGTAGTATTTTCTAACTGTTGGCTGTTGGTATATGTAAATATAACTTAGTTTTGGTATACTGGTTTTTAACACTTCAATATGTCACCATTAAGTGTATTAACTATTGATATGGTTTGGCTGTGTCCCCACCCAAATATCATCTTGAATTGTAGCTCCCATAATCCCCACGTCATGGGAGAGACACAGTGGGAGGGAATTGAATCATGGGGGTGGGTTTTTCCCTTGCTTTTCTCATGATAGTGAATAAGTCTCATGAGATCTGATGGTTTTACAGAGGGCAGTTCCCCTACAGTCTCTTGCCTGCCACCATGTAAGACATGCCTTTGCTCCTCCTTCACCTTCTGCCATGACTGTGAGGCCTCCTCAGCCATGTGGAATTGTGAGTCCATTAAACCTCTTTTCTTTAAAATTACTCAGTTCCGGGTATGTCTTTATTAGCAGCATGAGAACAGGCTAATACAGCTATCATCTTTTTTTTTTTTTTTTTGGTATATAATCTCCATCAAATTAAGAAATTTCCTTTCTCATCCCAGTTCACTTAGAATATTGATGGGTGCTGGCTCTTATCAAATGATCTTTCTGCAGCTATTGAGATGATCATGTGAATTTTCCCATTTAATCTATTATTGTGGGTTACCACTGGTGATTTTCAAATGTTGAAACCATTCTTGATCTAAAAGATGAAGCTAACTGGGTAATGATGTTTTATTCAGTAAAACATGTTGTATATTGCTAGATTCTCTTTGGCTAATATTTTCTTGAGTATTTTTCCTATGTATATTTTTTGAGATTAGCCTGTAATTTTGTTCTCTTGTACTGTCCTCAAGTTTTGGAAATTTCAAGATTATGCCAGTCTCATAAAATGAGTCAGAGAGTGTCCCATATTTTTCCATTCTCTGGAATAGTTTGTATAGTTAGCTGAGACTAATTGCCTTTAAATGTGAGCTAGAACTTACCAGTGAGGCCTTTTGGAACTACGAGTTTCTTTTTTTTTTTTTTTCTTTTCTTTTTTAGATGGAGGTTTTGCTTCTTGTTGCCCAGGCTGGAATGCAGTGGCGTGATCTTGGTTCTCTGCAAACTCACCTCCCGGGTTCAAGTGGTTCTCCTGCCTCAGCCTCCCAGGTAGCTGGGATTACAGCGTATGCCACCACGCCTGGCTAATTTTTGTATTTTTAGTAGAGACAATGTTTCACCATGTTGGCCAGGATGGTCTCGAACTTGTGACCTCAGGCATCTGCCCGCCTTGGCCTCCAAAAGTGCTGGATTACAGCCTGAGCCACGATGCCTGGCCCTACAGTTTCTCTTGTAAGATGTTTGATCACTGATGCATTTTTTCCCATGGATGGGACTAATTCAGGTTTTTGGCTTTGTTTTCTTTGGAGTCCTAAGTTGCATTCTTGTGGGAGTTTATTTCAAAATTTTGGTGAAAGTTGCTTGATAATATCATTTTATTGTCTTTCTGTAGCCTGCAGCATCTGCGGTACTGTCACGCTTTTCATTTCTGAGACTGGTTATTTGGGGCTTTTCTTTTTTCTTGATGATTTCAATCAACAGGCTAGTAGTTCAATGTTTATTAGCTTTGTAAAGAAATGATTTTTGCACTGTGAGTTTATATCATTAATGTATACGCTATTTCAGTAAATTCTGCTCTGATCTTTTGTGTGCCCTTTTAAACTTTTCTTTGGATTTCCTCTTGCTGTTCTGTTTGTTTCTCTTGGAATTCTTCCTTCCTTTTCCACATACCTCACTTATGTCTATACATTCTCTAAGTACTGATTTGCTTCTTATGCTCACATTTTGATATGTTATCCCTTTCTTTTTCTTTTTCTTTTCTTTTTTTTTTTTTTTTGAGACGGGGTTCAACTCTATCACCTCAGGCTGGAGTGCAGTTGGCACGGTCTCAGCTCACTGCAACCTTCCACCTCCTGGGCCGAGTGATTCCTCCCACCTCAGCCTCCCTGCGTAGCTGGACTAAGGCATATGCCACACGCTGGCAGTGTGTTGTGTGTGTGTGTGTGTGTGTGTGTATATATATATATATATTTTTTTTTTTTCCAGTAAAGATGGGTTTTACCATGTTGTCCAGACTAGTCCCAAGCTTCCCTGGACTCAAGTGATCTGCCTGCCTCAGCCTCCCAAAGTTTTGGGACAATAGGCGTGAGCCACCACGCCTGGACTGTGGTACTTTCTTAATAGTGGGAAACATTTCTAATCTCCATTATGATTTCTTCATTGACACATGCGTTATTTTAGCAGCATAATTCTCATTTTTGAATATAAGAATTTCTGGTTATTATTTAATTCGAGCTTAAAAGGTTAAGGTATTGTCAGAGTACATAAATTTCAATACTTTAAATTTATTTAAACTTACCATAGGGCTTAATATATGGTCAATTTTTATAAATGTCCTGTGTATGCTTGAAAAGAATGTATACTAAGTAGTCCTATGGCACACAGTTTTTGTTTGTTTGAGATGGAGTTTCACTTTTTACGAAGGCTGCAGTGCTGTGGCATGATCTCAGCTCACTGCAACCTCTGCCTCCTGGGTTCAAGCGATTCTCGTGTCTCAGCCTCCCAAGTAGCTGGGATTACAGGTGCATGCTACCATGCCTGGCTAATTTTTGTATTTTTCATAGAGACGGGGTTTCACCGTGTTGGCCAGGCTGGTCTCGGACTCCTGGCCTCAAGTGATCCATCTGCCCCAGCCTCCCAAAGTGCTGGGATTACAGGTGTGAGCCACCGCGCCTGGCCCCATGGTGTACTGTTCTATATGGGCATCAATCAGTCCAATTTTGTTAAGGAGCCCTTTCAAATCTACATCACTCCCGATTTGTTCTATCAATTTCTGAGAAAGATATGCTAAAACCTCCCAAATATGATTGTGATTTTGGGTGTTTCTCTTCTTAGTTCTTTACATTTTGAGACCAGCAGAGGAAAAAATGGAACGATTTTTTTTTAAACCCACAACAATGTTAATACAAAATAAGGCAGGGAAGAGAAAGCCCCAGAAGAGGTGGGACAAACAAAAAGCACAAAGAAAGAAAGTCTGTTAAAGCCTAAATAAATCAGTCAGTCGATTACACTTAAATGGATTAAGGGCTCCCAGTGAAGAGCAAAACCTGTCAAGATGGTTTATGAGATAAAATCTGTACGTTGTGTATAGGAGCCACATCCAAAACACAAACCCATACAAAGGTTAACAGCATGCCTGGTGCTCTGGACCAAGCACCTTTGTGGGCAGCAGTGAATCATGGTTCTTGCACCCTGCAGGTCAGCCTCCCTTCCTTCAGGACCCCTGGGAGTGGCCAGGAAATAATAGGGGCACGAGGAACCCTTTCATTCGTATTTTGAAGCAGAACCTTCACATGTTCCTGCCTGCTGGGGAACTCTGACTGGCAGACTGGGAGGGTCGCACCTAGGTCAGCCAGGACCCATTCGGCTCACCCAGGATGGAATGAGCAGCCTGGAGCCTTCTCTGCCCCCACCCCAGACCCTGGAGCTCCTCTGAATTCAAAAAGTTCCTTCCGTTTCTCCCATCAAAGTGACCACATCTCCTCTTCCAAGTCACACTGTACAGTTCCTAGAGGAGATGGGCACAGTACCAAAGACCTCAATGGCATCTAGATTTTTTTCACTAGATCACTGATGCTAGAAGGCATTTCAGTGACCGTGGACAGGTCCTGGAGACCTAGACCTAGGCACCTGCTTCTGCAGGAGGAACACAGCTGCAGACCATGGAACTTCTTACCACTGATTACTTAGAATCCACATTCTTAAAACAATTTTAAACTTACATGGTCCAGCTGGGTCCAGACCACTTAGACCAGGCTCAGTCCTGAATACCCTCGTCTGTCTCAGCAGGCAAAGGCCGGAAGGGGGCATCTGTGCCCAGGGTGAAGATGTGCCAAGTGCTGGTGGCACTGGTGAGGGCTCGTGCTCTCTTCCCAGCTCTGCTGGTTGAAGGCTGCCTGTGACAGTCACTTACAGCCACCACGCTCATTTGTTCATTTGTGCCTGTCAACTAGGGTTTGTGTGGTGGCTGTTTCTGAAGCCAGCAAAGCAAAACCACCTTAATGTGCCACATGGAAGTGTAAGGTGGCCCCCCTCCCACTGAGCCAACAGCCCAGTGACCCCTGCTTAGAAGGGAAAGGACAATGGGAGGACAGGGAGGCAGGACAGGACTGGGCCAGATGCAGCAGGGGTGGGCAAGAGTCCTCTCCTCACAGTCAGAGTCAGGGCAGGGGCGGTTTCGCTTCTCAACCCTCCTCTGAAACTGTGTCCCACCCCTTGCTGTGGCTCTGAAACGTGCCCGGCACTGCTCCCTGCTTATTACCACAAGGAGAGCTCCTCAGGCGGGAGCAGTCTAGAGCCTTTCTCTTCCTAATTCTGTGCAAGCATGGCTGTGAGTGAAGAGCCTCCGTATTTCAACAAACATCCTACTTGCATGATCTTAGGATCTGTTTCCAGTCACCTCGGGGCTCACTCTAGTCCAGAAAGCATCTTCCCATCCCCTCTGACAGGTGTCCTTGCCCTGCTGCTTTCACAGGGCGGCAAAGAGCAAGGGCTTCAGCTCCCAAGCCCCTTGCTCAGCTGCGGGACACTTAGGCTCCGGGTGTGTCCCCAGTGACCCTGACTTTAGGGACATACTGGGTGCTGCAGCCACAAGGCACTGCTCCTGTAGTCATGGTGGGCAGCCAGCATTGCCCCAGGCCATAGTGCTGGTGTCCCAGGCTCCTCAGGGACCTGAGGACAGGGCCAAGTGTGCCAGCCCACACCAGGCTGACCCTGCCAGGCAACAGGTGTACACACAGGTCCTGAAGCCACCCAGGTCAAATAAGGGATTTGGGGGCACACAGGTTGCATTTTGCCTCTTGGGAAGATGACGCAAGGGAATGACGGGCAGGCCAGTTCCAACACACTGCCAAGCGCCAGCTGAGCGGGCTGGGAGCAGGCACATTCCGATAACCAGGACACAAGTGGGCTAGCGATGCCTGGTCATGCCTTTTCCCAATACAAACCCAAGAAAACTGGCCCAGCTCCTTCGGTGTATTACAGGCTGAACCGTGCCCCTACCCAAAAGTATATGGTAGAAGCCTAACCTCCAGTACCTCCAAATGTGACCTCACTTGGAGAGGGGGTATTTAGAGAGGTCATCAGGTTAACATGGACTCATTAGGGTGGGTCATAATTCCATACAACTGCTGCCCTGATGTGATGGGGAAATTTGGAGACAGCTGTGTAGAAAACACCATCTGAACAGGAAGACAGCCATCTACAGGCCAAGGGGAGAGGCCCGGGACAGATCCTCCCTCCCAGCCCGAAGAAGGAACCGACCCTGACACCTGGACTGTAGACTTCTGGCCTCCAGGACAGAGACAGTAAATGCTGCTGTTGAAGCTGCCCAGTCAGGGGTCCTCTGTGCGGCAGCCCCGGGGGACTCACAGAGTGTGCCCTGGGAGTCCTATGAGTCCTGTGGGAATTCCCCCACCCTTCCTGGCACACTCTTGAATGTTCTCAAGAATGTCGGGAGACGAGGCAGCATGCTGGTGGCACAACCAGCCCCACCCCACCGTGGGCCCGCATGGAGCTCCCTTCTACAGGGGTCAGGTCAGGGCCTTCCTTAGCAACTCACTTCTTTAATTTCAGAATCCACAGAGGTAAGTCCAGCTTAGACCAAGCGGCCGAGTTCTCTTCAAATGAAATCTGTGCCAGTATTTACTCCAGGAAGGCAAGAGCCCAGCCCTTCATGACTCCTGAGATCAGGAATGGCTGGTGGTTAGGAGGCGCTCTCCTGGCCACTCTAGCTGTGTGGGGCACTCCCTGCATATGTGGGGCACACATGGCCTGTGCACACCACCCACCTACAAGCCTGGGCGGCTCCAGTGGGAAAGACAGGAGAGGGAAGCAACATTTGATTGAATCTGAGCCAAGAGGGCCAGAGGCTGAGGAAGGTACCCCCACAGCAGCCTCCTGAGCAAACAGCACCTGGGGGCTCTGCCCAGTTGGGACAAAGGGTGAGGCTCCCAGCAACAGTTAAGAGAGATGGCATCCCCTGGGAGAGGGAGGCCTGGGGTTGGGTGACAGGGCTTCCACACCACCACTGCACCCTTGGCAAGAATGAGCAGATGTGGAGAAGAGGAATGCCATCAATGCGCCCCCCACCTCGGGTCCCTGTGCTCCCCACCCCACAGTTCTTCCTGGAGTGCCCTCTGCACTCCTCCCAGCAGGCTGCTCGGCTCCTTAGGCCGGTCTGGGATCCCTGCTGGTGCCACTCCCGAGGTCAGCACGTCTGCATCCGCACTGGCTGCAGGAGGAGAAGCTCCCTGCAGAGGTAAGGCAGCAGGCACTAAAGGGGGAAGGGGGCTCTGGTGGCCCCCGGTATGTCCGAGGAGGGGGTGCGCAGGCGGCGCAGCGTGGCAGCTGGGTGCGGAGGACAGCAGCTGCTGGGAAGAGCTGCAGTGGAGCCCAGGAGGTTCTGCTGGGGGAGCGTCTGGAGGCAGCGGAGGTGCCCGGCGAGCGGTCCCTCTGGAGAGTCCTGGCGGGTCACCCGCCCTGCAGCCCTCTCCCTGGCCACGCAGGATCTTTGGTTTAGGCCTTGTGGGTCCCTTCTGCCTCCAGTAGGGCAGGTGTCTGTGACCAGAGCCATGAGCCCAGCGAGGTCCCCGTGGGAGGGTCCACATCCAGGAAGGTTGGCCCATTGGCCCAGGGCCTTGGGGACGCCTCCCCAGCCGATTCACCTGGGTCCTCATGGTGGCCACTTCCTGAGCCAGGCCTGCCAGCGCCGTGGCGAGGCGATCCAGCTTCTCTGCGAGGGCAGCACCGAGGCTGTGCAGCTCCTGTTGCAGGGGCTTCCCACAGGGGCACGGCGGCTGCGGGGAGGAGGCTGGCAATACGGGAGGCGCGGCTTCCTGAGGGGGCAGCTCCGGAGGTGGAGACTCACGGGGTGGCTCAGGCGGGACCTGGGGGAGCAGCCTCCCATGGGTCTTGGCTAAAACCAGAGCAAGGACCGGTCAGAGTTCCTGGTTTGTAAGGAACTCTCTCTCCCCAGAGGTCCCCTGAACCAAGGGCACTCAGTACCCTGCCTCCTCCAAGGCCCGGCTTCCAGAAGGGAAGGAAGGTGAGTCAGGCCTGAAAACACTGATGCCAATGGTTATGGCATGAAAACTGGCTACATCTCCTGGCTGTTCCCCAAACTGATGGGCAGGATCTACCACAGGTTGGGTTTGGGTTTCCATGGTAACCAGGCTTCCCTAAACTGCGGTCTCCCCACCTTCTAGGCATCTGGTGGGTCTTTGTGTTGTTAATGAGACCAAATGGCAGCCCTGCCCTAGGAGTCAGTGAGAAGGGCCCAGAGCCCCTGGACAGCATGAGACCAAGGCCACGGGAGCATCAGGAGATGGGCCAAGAGGGCCAGGCCAGCCAACGGCCTTCTGCGCATTTTTTGTGGGGTGACTGTGGGGCCACTCCAGAACTCAGTGCTCTTGGTTACAGGCAAACCACAAGGGTTCCCACCCACTTCTGCCTTTACTCTCCCCATTCAGAAGTTACAGATTCACAGGAGTCATAAGCTTTTTTTTTTTTTTTTTTAAAAAAAGATCACCTAATCCTTCACCCTAAATTCCCTTGGAACTGGTCCCAACCCTGGGCAAACCACAAGAAAGGCTTGGCCAGGCACTTGCCATTCCTAACCTGTTCAGCCCCAGGCTGGGTGCGGAGATGCTTTCTTCCCTGTTTCTCTGGGCCCCCAGCTGTGGCTCTGCCCTTCTCTTTTCGGCACCTCCAAGGCTTTAAACCGAGGAAAAAGTGAAGACTGGAGTAGCTAAAGGACCCAACCGCTGTTTGGTCAAGTTCATCAACAAGGATCTTGGCCTGGAGACCCCGGCCAGGACTTCTACAGAGGACAGGCAAGGCTCGGTGGCCCCAGGCAGCTCAGAGCTCTCAGCAAAGCGGTGGCGCCTGGACAGAAGCCAACACCCTGAGCCAGTAAGAGAACCTGCCGCAGGCCGCACTGAAAGTTCCTGGTGTGGGGTTGTCCCCAAGTGACCCAGGGCACTAGATGCCAGGCCCCCTGCATGTTTCCACCATGGGTCCGCAGGGGCAGGCGTGTGACATGGAGCCAATCCTCTCACAATGACCGCAGCCAGGTCATCCTGGCCTCAGTTTCCTCACCTATTCTCTAAAGTCCCCTGAAGCCCCAAACTGATTCTTCACTTCTCAATTTCCACCTCTAAAGGGTGTGTCTGCTTTTATGAAAATCCCAACTGGTTCTGTAATAAAACACTGAAATGAAATATGCAACCTGAAGTGGCTTACAGATGAGACTTTTCCTACCCATCACCCAAACGGTGACCCTGGACGGCTGTTTTCCCCAAGCGGGGGCTCTGGGTCCTGGCCTGTGCAGAGGGAATGGGGGAAGCCACCAGTTCACCTGCAACTCTGGGTCTTCCATGTCCAAGCTCCAGGCCTCTGGACGCTTCACTAACCCTGGGTCTTTTCTCCAGCCGAGAAACAGGGCAGGGATCCCCAGCTGTACCTGTAGAAAAAGCACAGAGACCCTGGGGCAGGGAGACGATCGTTTGGCCAGAGCCATTCTGACATACCCTAAAACAATCTCAAACTCTCAACTTTCAAACCATGACTAAATGAGATAGAAGATGGACACTTGGCCCACGAGGGAGGCTAATTCTGGTGGAAGGGCCCGCTGTGGTACGTGTGTGTGGTGTTCCTGCCCAGTCTGCAGGGGGCTCCGGCAGGAGGTGGTGGCTGGAGAGGCAGCTGGGAAAAAGGACTCTCATCTGTGGGTCATGCCCCAGTGAGACCTCCGAGGGCGTGCTGGGGCATCCTGTGGTCCATACCCAGCCCACTCTGCCATTTTCCGCTAGGCCCACTGGGGAGTGAGGAATGTGGTACGGCCCGGGCCTACACAGACCAGCGCCAGGGCTGTAAATGGAGCCAGCAGCAGGAGCTGGGGAGAGCTCCCTCCACTGACCATTTCTGGCCTCTTCCTCCTTCTCCCCATCCTCTACCACTGCCTCTCCCTCCTCCTCCTCCTCCTCCTCCTCCAGCACTCCTGAGGGGGCCAGGCCAGCAAGTACTATCTAAACTCTCTTTTCTCCCAGGCAACTGGGACCTGTCTCCTGTCCCATCTGCTTTTCCCGCTGGGAGCAAACACTGGCTCACAGTGAGATTGAGAAGCAAGGTGACCTGGGGCAGCAGGCGGCATTTCTAGCTTTCCTAATGGAACACTCTCCAAGAAGTCCCCCCAGCTGGGGAAATCTCACTTTTGAGACTTTTGTTATTGATGCCAAGTTTTAAAAGCATACACTATTATCGTATAAATACATCCGTATCTGTCTCCATGCACGCGTGTATATTCGCAAGTGCAAACACTGTGTACATGGCTTCAAGTGGGTGGCCCAGACCTCCCTGCAGCTGCTCACCAGCACCCCCAGCAGCCCCGCCCTCCCTCTCGGACACAGCTCACCTTACAGGGAACTAAAGCACGGCCAATGTGCAGGACTCCCTGGCAAGAGCCAGGCAAAGTGACAGGCAGGACTCAGAGGATCCAGTCTGGACTCCCGGCCCTCTGGGGGACGCATGGGCGCCCCCTCAGGAGACCCCAGGCTCACCTGCACCAAGGCCGCTGCAGTACCTGGGCTCTGTTCTCCTGGGGTCTTCACCAGGGCTGCTGCCACTGCTTCCAGCAGGGGTCCCACCAGGACATGGGGACAGAGGGACAGGAGGCTTACAGCTGGGAAGGCGGTCCCTCTCTTAATGTCACAAACAAAGCTGGCATCAGAGTGGTGACTGGCGCTCTAGCACACACCCCGCTATCCTCCCTTTCCGAAGAGGCTCACCCTGGAGGAGCGGCCTCCAGAGCTCGGGCTCCGGCCTCGGGTCTTCTCCTTCAGAGCCGCTGAAGCTCGAGCTGGAGCCGGGGCTGGGGCTGGGGCTGGGGCCTGCCACGCAGGCGAAACGCAAGGGCCGTACAGGCAAGATCCCCCTCAGGGCGCTCTCCAGGCAGTGCAGCGGGGAGGGCTTGGGGGCAGGCCCTGAGCAGGGGACCAGAGAGTGCTCTGTCATCAGCCTGAAGAGAGCCAGGCCTCTGCCTTAGGGTCTGGGCACACAGAACTGGTCCCCTTTCAGCTCAGCCCACACTCAACATGAGTTCTAGGGGACCCTAAATGGCTGCCTCTCTTGCCACAGAAAGAGGACAAAAGTGAAGCCAGAGCCTGGCCAGGACGCCAGCAGCTTTGGAAAGTCTGCTGGGGAACTTTCTGGAAATCTCCAGTCCTTGGAAGTCATTAGCAGTCTAGTTCTAGCCAGGCTTAGGTCTCACAGGCCAGGCGGCCTCTCCCACCAGGCAGGTACCATCCCTGCACCCCGGTATCTCATAGGGGCCAGCAGCCCAATGGTGGGGCTCAGTTAGGGCCCATCCTTGTCTGATGGGAGAGTCAGCAAAACCACATTTATTCAGAAAGGTATCCCACCAGGCCCTGTGGCAGATGGAGGAAGGAATTCTGCTGGAAGTTAAACCAAGCAGCAGCAGTAGACAGCGGGAAGCCCCTCAAGAAGCTTCTCCACAGGAGAAACCCAATGGATGGACACAAACAACGATCTTCCCGACCCCGCTCCTTGTCAGCACTTTGTGACACTTTATCTTCTTATTTAGCGAACCTCAGTTGCTGTTTGGCACCAGCTTCTGTCCTCTGGGCAAAGGATGAGAGATGGGGAAGGAACAGAGGGACAGAGAGGGGAAGTCTATTTCCTTGTCAAACACTTTAACTAAAGCATGGTTGTCAGTACCGAGGGCAGGTGCCAGCTCACCCTCTGGGAGCCACCTCCACACTCCTGGCCTGGTGGCCCCAGGGTCTTTGAGCCCCCGCTGGTGGCAGGCGGGGACGCAGCTGGAGGTGAACACCTGTGGGCTGACCAGACGGAGGCTCCGGGTGGGCACTTCTCCCCTACCGTGCCCAAGACAGGCTGACTCCCAGGCCTCGGCCCTCAGTCCTGTTTTAATGAGAAAACAGAAGGCCTGTCAGCCCCACAGGGCCTCGTGCTGCCACAGAAGGGACAGGGAACAGTCTCTGCCATTGTTGGGCTCTCGGGCACACCAGCGTCAGGTGTGGGAAACACCCACCTGCCATGTTCCGGGGAGCGCCCGAACCCTCCAGAACCTCTCTATTCCCAGACCCAGCTGCGTGGAACCCTGGGCTCAGAAACTGGTGCCCAGACACCAAGGTACATGGGGCCGGCACGGCCGGGACAAGGAGCCAGCTCCAGCCAGGGCAGTGGAGCCACAGACAACGGCACTAAGGTGTCCCCATCACTCAGATGCCAGCAGGTCTGCACGTGTGTGCTGAACAGACTACAGACTATCTGGCTTTCCGGCCTCCAACAAGGCTCAGCCCAGGCCTATTTCCAGAGCACCATGTTGGCTCAGGAGCAGATATGAGCCCACAGGTGCAGCGCCCAGGGCATCCTCGGAGCAGCCCTGTCTACACCCTGGGCCCCGGCAGCCGCTCTTACCTTCCTTGTCTGCTGTCCAGTTCCTGGGCTCCACTCTCCTCGGTCCCCTGTCTGCTGCTGAGGAGCAGGGCCAGGCAGGCCGCAGCACAGGCACAGGTATCTCCTTGAGACAGTTCTCCAGACCCTGCAGTGGGGAGCTTCCTGGCGGGCTTCCTGTGAAGATCAAACATTCACAGATGACGGGGGCTGTAGCTCTATCTCTGCAAACCGCAGAAGCCTCCCCTCTTCTGCTGTGTCCAGGGAAGCAGGGTCACAGGGGTGCTGGGCACAGAGCACTGGACGTGTCAGTCCTGGCTCTGCGGCGGCCCTGCTTTGGCTGCCGTGGAAGCAGCCTGGCCTGTCCTGGCCACCCACACAGAAGCCTGGCCTGTGGCTGTCAAGATGGCATTGGCCACAGGTGTGGGTTCCAGTCCTCCTCAGCACACCCAGCTGCCACTACTGTGAGGGACGACATCCTGTGTCCCCAGCACAGGGGTGGCCCCACAGATGGAACGTGCTAAGACTTCCTTCACCACTCACAGAGGGGAACAACGCAGGCCCCCTCGCCTCTGGGCCATGGCAGGCCCACATGCATGCAGTTTCAACTAGGAAAGAACTAAATACACTGTAAACATCCTATTTCCAGTGACAGCCGTGCGAGTAACAGGAACCAGATGAACTGAAACTCTAGAGCGAGGAGAGCCCTTCCTAATAAAGCGGACAGTGCTGCCACTCTCTTTCCTGAAAGCGTTTGCTGATGATCCTGGGCCGAGGCACAGGGCGGGAGGGCAACCCGCAGCGCTTCTGAATGCCCACGGGCTGGAAGGGCAGGGTGGAAACCAGAGGACCTCCACGTGCATTTTCTCCACAGCACATTCGCTGAGTTCTGGGGCAACAGAGGGAGCCGGGAGTTGTCTGGAAGCTTCTGAAAGGCAGTGTGAAATATCCTGCAGTTTGGGTTACTTAGTAAACAAAGTCCACCCAGGCAGGACACATGAAGCATGCTACCGAATACCACACTGCTGTCCCAAAGAAGAAACTGGTGCTGGTGGCCAAGGAATATGAAAAGTATAGAAAGGAGTCAAAGACAAATACTGATGACAAAGGCAGCCTGGAGGGGGCATGTACAGATGCTGCCCTCTGTGTGAGGAAGAGGAGGGGAATGAACTCGCAGCAGTGGCAGGAGGGGCTGCAGCGCCGAAGACTTCATTTTTCCCACATAACCTTTTATAGCTTTTGAACAAAGCTATGTGATCATATTACCTATGAAGTCAGTTGCATTTTGGGGGAAAAGCCCCACACCCAAGGGGCTAACCCCTAGTGGGGCTTGGGAATTCAGGCTGCTGTGGACACTGGCAGGCCCCACAGGCCTGACCAGAGCTGTGGCTGCTGCGAGAGGCCTGTTCAGTAAATATGCTGGCAGTCAGGACAGAGGTGAGGACAGAGGGACTGGTGTCGGCAGGACAACACAGACCAAGAGGACTCGGATTAACCGGGTGGGGGAAATAAAAAGGCCAAGAGGAGATGCTGGAGTCCTGCAAGATCCTCAAGTCTGCAGCAAACTCGACTGGAGTGACCGGGGCAGGCACAGGTCACCAAGCACACTCCCAAGTGTTTCTGACACGAACCTCACTGTATGTTTTCCTAAGCTGGGCGTCAGTTTGATATTACAGGCAATTCTTTGTGGCTAGGGTAAGGAATTCAATGCAAAAAGGAAATTTTTATTTATATTTATTTATTTATTTTTGAGATGGAGGTCTCACTCTGTCCCCCGCGCTGGATTGCAGTGGTGTGATCATAGCTCACTGCAGCCTCAAACGCTGGGGCTCAAGTGATCCCCTGCCTCAGCCTCCTGAGTAACTGGACTACAGACTACTGGTGCCACTCCACCCAGATAATTTTTTAAGTCTTCTGTACAGGCTGGGTGCGGTGGCTCATGCCCATAATCCCAGTCCTTTGGGAGGCTGAGGCAGGCGTATTGCCTGAGGTCAGGAGTTTGACACCAGCCTGGCCAACATGGTGAAACTTCTTCTCCACTAAAAATACAAAAATTAGCTGGGAGTGGTGGTGGGCACCTATAATCCCAGCTACTCGGGAGGCTGAGGCAGGAGAATCACTTGAACCCAGGAGGCGGAGCTTGCAGTGAGCCGAGATTGTGCCATTGCACTGCAGCCTAGGCAACAAGAGTTAGACTCCATCTCAAAAAAAAAAAAAAAAAAATTTCTGTATAGACGGTGTCTTACTATGTTGCCCAGGCTGGTCTCAAACTCCTGGCCTCTACTGATCTTTCTGCCTCAGCCTCCCAAAGTGCTGGGAGTATAGGCGTGAGCCACTGTGCCCAGCCCAAAAAGATTTTAAAAGAAATCTTAGATATTGTCCTGTCCCTTCTGAGACAAGTCACTAAAACGGAGCCGCCTCCGTTTGGGTTGTTGGGTAGGCTCCCAACAACCCACCCAAGAAAAGCCCTGCATCTGCTCCTGCCTCAGTATCCCTGGCTCTGCTCCCAGCACTGGCACGGGAGTCTGACCCAGTCAAGCCACAGGGACTGGGCAAGGGGCCTCAAGTCCTCTCCCAGGATGAACCCCAGCCTCGGGCTGGCCCAGCTCACCTTTTCCAGGCTGCTGCCCCTGGCTCCCCACAGGGCTCCCAAAATCCAGGTCCCAGTCAGTGCTGCTGGATGAGGAGAAGCTGGTGGGGGTTCCTCGGGGGACTGGGGGCCGGGTGGGGCCATCTCTCACACAGCCCTGCAGGCTCAGAGGCAAAACAGGCTCTCTGGTCGCTTCTGTAGGGAACAGCACAGTTGTGGTCACCAGGAGGCTCACTGGAGAGGAGACCCCTGGGCCATGGGGTGCACGGGCACCAGAAGACCCTGCCCCAAAGTATCTCCCACTACGGTTTCCCTGTGGCACAGATTAAACTCCCATAGCGCGTGACCCACAGAAACCCCACAGTGAGTCTCGTGACTGGAGAGAGTTCTGAGAGAAGGAAGTAGGGCAGGAAGATCTGCACTGGCTTTCGCCACATGCAGGCAGCTGTCTGGGGGTGAGTATGAAAGGCAGCCTGGCGGAGTGGGCCTGCGCCTCAGGAGGCTGGAGAACGTAATGACCTGACAGTCCTCAGCATCTGCCTCCACTGCTGTGCCCAGGGACACGCCACCCCGCGCCCATGGCCACAATCTACCTTCACTGTGTGATCTGTGGGGCTGCAGTTCAGGCCTCTGAGACCCAGAGCCTCCTGGCTGGGGGTTCTGGGAACAAGAAGTGGCCAGCAGCTGGGAAGGTGACGACCCACTTGGGGGAATGCCCTTCAGGCAGGCTTCCAGGGCTTCCAGCGGTGAGCTTGAGGCACTGGTAGCTGGAACAGGAGAGAACACCCTGTCACCATCTCCCACACATCCCAGCTTTGCCCATCAGACCCCTGGCTGGCTCCACCCGACGTGCTTTCTGCAAGGTTGATGAGTCCTGCACCAGGCTCTGGGACCTGCCAGACAAGAAACCCTTCTGTGGGGGACTGATCTGCCCTTGCCCCCTACCCTGCCCCTGGAAGGCATGAAGACAGGAGGGAAGTGAGGAGGGCCACGCGTCAGCAGGGGCAGCTTCCGGGGCCAGGAATCACTGCAAAACAAAGGCCCCGGGGCAGCAGGGGCTTGGGCTGAGGAGGCCGTGGATGAAGGGATTCTCTGCTTGGGAAGAAAGGCCGGGGGCGGCTCCCTGCTGAGAGCTGCTTCCCTGGGGTTGGTGGAACCTTGCCAGGGACTGACAAGCCCATGGGGAAGACCACCAGAGCAGCCGACCCCAGGCCTCACCTTGAGCCTCAGTGCCCCGGCTGGGTTGGGGGACCCCTCTGATGTCTCCAGTGGCTGAGGGACTGAGGGGCTGCCTGCCAGGCTGACAGGATGCGGGTCCTGGGGGGCTCTGGACCCAGCTGTTCTCCATCTTCACAGAGAGCAGGCTGCCAGCTCCAAGACCAGGACGGGGAGGAGGGGTCAGGAGGTGTCCAGGCCCTGCGGGAGGAGGCCAGTGGGAAGCCCAAGATTCAGGCCTGGACTCACCCTGAGAATCCCTTGAGGTCTTTATAGGGTTAGGAGGGGCTTCCAAAGCCCGTGTGCCTCCACGGCAGTCACCGGATCAGAATGCTGTCACTTGTCAATCATCAGCAGAGAGACGAGTCACACGCCTCCTCCCCCACCATGGCCCCCTGCGGTGCCCCCAGGGTTTCTACCAGGCGTGAAGTCGGCCCTCCCTGGACAGCACCAATCACGTCTTTCTCCATGGCCAGCACACCTGACTCAACCCAGCTGCTCAGGGCTTTGTTCTGAGAAGCTAACAGCTGAGGTGACATGCACAGAAACGTGAACCCATGTGTGGGCCAGGTGGGTATAATTAGGATTTGGGGTTCCTAGCCCTCACACACGGCGGAAATCCCAAATCTCAGTTATACCAACCTGACCCAAACACACAGGACCCCAAATCACAATGAGGAGCTGTGTGTGTGCTGGGCTAGAGCTCCGTTCTCTATTTCTTGATCTGGCTCCCTCCCCACTTTCCTTTCGGAATGTCCAGCTCCTCCTCTGGGAGCCAGCCTGAGAATTATCAAGTGCTGACCGAGCCCCTCCCACGCAGCTCGCTCCATTTACACAGCGGGGATCTCCCGCATCTGGCTCCTCTCCCCGAAGGGCCACCGTGGGAAACTGAGTGTTTATGCTGGGGGCCACCTATAGCCCTGCCTGGGGCAGGGTAACAGAGGACATCTGGGGGCCCTCCCAGCCCAGCGAGAAGAATTTACCTCCAGAACCCCTTTTCCAGGCCCCTGGATTCTCCTGCAGACGTGGGTTCCCCGCTCCCGAGGGACTGGGATGCCTGTCCTGGGCCTCGGGGAGCTCCTTCAGACAGTTTAGCAGACCCTGGAGGGGACAATCCCCTGAAGCTGCCTCGGTCTTCACTAAAGGAAAAAGGAACATGTTTTCACCTGGAGCCCAGTGTCCTCAGCCTTCACGACAAACAACAAGCGGAATAAGTGAGAGGGGCGTGGGGCCAGCTCTGAAGACGAGGATCCTCCAGGGGCTCACTGAGTCGTCCCGGTGCCTGGGTTCACACACCTGCCACAACTGGACAGGGCAGAGAGGGAAGGCATGGAAGTCGCCCTGCAGGCAGACATGTGGTATCGCTCTGAGGACAAACTGAAGGAAGTGGGCTGTCGGGGTCACTGTTCGAGACAGCTCTGTGGGTCCTGAACAAAACTTACATTTGAGGAAAATGGAGTTGTACAATAAGCACATTACTGCAGCTAAGCTCACTGCGGCCCTGTGAGTGGGAACAGCCTAGGCTCAAGGCGTCAGGAGCCTGTCAGGGTCTGACTCCACAACCTGTGCCCTGGCCCCTCCACCATGCCGTCCAGAGCCCAAGCCCACCCCATGCATCATGCCTGGCATCATTGCAAAGCGACATATGAGCTCTGCAGCTCTTCCCCTCGGGTCCCGGGTCGGGAGGAGGAAGGGACATGAAGAAACCAGGGCAAAGCCTGCTTCCAAGTTTCCTTTTCCCAGCTGACCAAATGCTGTCCTTAAGAGAGCCACCTGGCTCCAGAAAGGTGACAATGGCAACACAGCAGTGGCCAAGCTGGTAACGATCCCTAAGGGAGACAGTTTGGAGCAGGAGGAATCGCTGTTGAAATGCAAACCAAGCTTCAGAGACCTCAGCCTGAGGCCCCAGGACTCACCTGCCCAGGGCGGGCTCCCAGACCCCAGGTCTGTTCTGGTTAGCCTGGACGTGCCCAAGCTGGGGAGAGGCGGCAGGAATCTTGGGGATGTCTCGGGGTGCTGGGGCCCAGGCACGAGGATTTCCTTCAGACAGTTGATGAGGCCTTGCAAGGGGCCGTTCCCAGGAGAAATTCCTGTAGCACACACAAGGTGGGCCGGGGTCAGTGCAGTCCTGACGGGGCACCCAAGAGTGCTTCAGCAGGCACTCAGGTCTCCGGGCGGCTGAGATTCCCGCCCGTGAGAACACAGACAAGGCCTGCCTCGTGGAACTGCCGCCAGGCCCAGGCTGGGGAGCAGCATGACCTCCTCGCGTGAACTAAACACACTTGCCCATCACCACCCCACTGAGGAAAGCCTGCCCCTCACCGGCCTCCGAGGTCCCTCTCTCCTGTTCTCTGCGGCTCTTCCTCCTGCTGGGGCTAAGGGTGGGAGGGCTGGGCTCCCCGCCCGGGGCTCCCGGGGCTCCTGGGCCTTCCTTCCTTATAGGCCATGGTTTGTCGCCAGTTTCTGTTGCAGGAGAACACAAGAGGGCCTTTCTAGCCCCAGCTCCAGACTCTGGAAAATCACCCCAGATCTGGTCCCCGAAGAGGACAGCCTTCTCCAGCTACCCAAGTCCCTGTTCCAGGAGGGCTGAGGGCTTTCACCATTTCTTTCTGGTTTAACTGTAAACAGCAAGACTGTTGGTTCACTGTGAACACCCCTAGGCCCTTCCCCGTGAGCCCAGCCACCGAATTTGGCTCAGCAAGTGATGCCGGCAGTCTCGACATGTAGACCACAATCCCACACTCATGCTTCTCAAACCAGGGCACATAGAACCCCAGAGCAAATGTGCCCGACACCCCCTGAACACCAGATGAAACCACAGCTAAATGGAGTATGTTTTTTGGGAATGCCAATTTTATTCCATATAAATTTGAATTATATTTTATAAAAACAGACAAATGCAAAATTTGTAATAAGTTTTAAAAATAAAATGAGACCCCAGAGAAATCCTAGGAGCTCGCCTGGCCCTGTTCTGCAGTTGGGGTTGCTGTGATGAGATGGTCTCCAGTGCACACAGGTATGTGAATGTTGCCGGCCGTGGGCCTGCATGTGAGAAACTGCCGGAGGCTTCTGTGTTCAAAGTGCTCAGTGATCGGGCGGGAGGAGAGGCTCCCCAGGGGCTGAGCATCACGCCTCCTCTTTGGTGTTTACACCAGAGGCTAAATATGTGGTCCTGCTCCCTGGGGCACTTTGTCAACAAGAAAACAGAGCAACAAGGGAACTGAGTCCTAGAAAAAAATGAAGAGGGCACAGGGTCCAGGTCCCCTGACGCCATGGTCAGGGCTCTTGAAATGCTGGTTCTCCCTGTCCCTGCTGTGTCAAGACTCACTGATGGGGAGAGGACTTCCCTGGACCCCGTCACCAGTTGGGCCACTGGAGCACAAGCTGTCGGTGGGCGTGGCGGCCAGGCGGGGCTGGCTGGCAGGGCCATCTGGAAGGCAGCTGAGCAGGCCTCGGAGAGGGCAAGGCTCTCTTGCCACAGCTGCTGTCGGGAAAGAGGGAAAAGACAACAGCTGGTAAGATGCCCCTAACATTGTCACACTGTCACATTCTGGGTCTTTTCCTTCCCATGTGCTGCTAACAATGACCAGGATGTCAGCCAGCTATGCGTTGTCATCACTGGGCTCTGATGGGGCCACAGTGGGTGGAGGGTGACAAAGCCACACAGAAACTACCAGGAGAAAACCCGAGCTGCCCTCTCACCAGCTATGGCCACACACTCAGAGGGCGGCACACAGCCTAGCCGTGAGGAACAGCAGATGACTCTGCCTCCCCGCCTGTGCCTGGGAGCCCACATGCAGTGCAGTGCCGTGGACTTGCGCTTCATCATGGGGAGTGCAGAGGAGGCTGCGTGCACTGGCCCCGCTGTCTGACTTACCCTCGGGGCTCACTCTCTCTCCATCCAGGCTGGCTCCCCGGCTCTCGCTCTCGGGGCTGTCCATAGCGCCCTTGACTTCCCCAAACAAGAACTCTGGGATCTCCTTCACCAGCTGCACCAGGGCGGTGAGGTGCAGGCTGTGCCGGGGCTGTCCCCCTGCGGAGAGGCCACAGTGACCCCGCACCCCTGCGGCTGCTCAGCACTCACACCTATGTGCGTGTTTTCACACCCAGCATCTCACATAATCCTCCCAGCCACAGGAGAAGCAGCCAGAGGAGACACCATGTCCCATGAGATATAGAGGACTTGGGCTCAGGCCAGGTGCTCTGGCCAAGGGAAAGCCAGGGCATGGGGGCAGGGCCTGGGTAACAGGGCTCTTCTGTTCTGCATCACTCGTGAATCTCCCTGCCTCCCAGGGGAATGCCCAAGCGGGCTGCCGCCACACTTCTCCCACCATCTGGGCCCTCTGCCTTTTCGGCACCCCCTAAATGCCTGGCCTTGCCCAGTCTGGGCCAGTGGAGCATGTCCACCATCTGAGGTCTTGGGATGTAAGCCTTGTGGCAGGACTTTTGGGAGCTGGGGCAGGTTCTGCAGGGGTGGCTGTGATAAGGCTTCAGGGTGGTGGCAGGTGGGGGGCCTGAGGCAGGAGGTACTCTCCAGGGTGACCCCAGGCTTCCTCTGAGTGCTTCTCTGCAGAACAGGCTTCCAGCCCAGAGGGATGAGAGGCGAAAGTTCGGGAGGCTGCAGTAGGGGAGCCAGGGAGGTGAGCGGCTGGACTGAGCCGGCTGAGGTGACACATTGCCCGGGCCTGACGATCTATAAGTGGGAGGAGACGCCCAAAGTCTGATAGATAACTTACACTGGGGACCTCCGCCACCAGCAGGCTCCTGCCCCTCATCAGCGTGGCTCCCTCCCACGACAGCTCCTCCAGACTCTGAGGGTGACAGGAAAGCAGAGAGGGGGAGCAGCTCAGCTGTCCCTGGGAAAGAAGAGGGAACTGTGGCCCTGGGAATGGAGTGGCCTCTGCTTCGCACACAGTTGGGTAGCACCCCAGGCCCCTGCATGTCTGTGCACGTTCACGTGACCACTTAAACTCAAAGAACGACAGAGTGGCTGGAACCTCAGAGGCCACCGCATACCCCCACCGAGTTGCACCTAGAACCCGGTCCTGGGAGATAGAACAGCAGCAGCGGGAACGATGCCCGTGTTCATGTCACAGGTGGAAAGACTGAGGCTGCCAGGTCCCGGGGACTCCGGTCTCCCTTCCACCGCTCACCAGGCTCCTGCCGCACGTGCTGCTGCCGCCTGTCCTTACCCACGGAGACCAGCGTCTCGTAGTTCTCCCGCATCACGTCCCGGTAGAACTCCCTCTGCCCCTCCTCCAGGAGCCGCCACTCCTCCTCCGAGAACCGCACTGCCAAGTCCTTGAAGGTGATGGACACCTGCAGGCACAGTCTCCAGGGGGGTTAGTTGTTCCATCCCAGAGGGGCCAGCCTAGCTGTCCCTGCACTTGGTGACCCCACCTAGGCCTCCAGGTGCACACTCCAGGATAATAGCCAGAGCCGGGGGCAGGGTCTGACATGCAGGAATCCCCTCGGGAGACAGCGCTGGGGGTGAGCTGTGTCTCTGCAGAGACACGCTGCAGTCCTAACCCCCACGCCTATAAGTAGGACCTTATTTAGAAACAGGGTCCCTGTGGATGGAATTACTTAAGATGAGGTCATGATCCTAAGTAGGGGGGTCCCTTAGTCCAGTATGACTCATGTCCTTATCAGAAGAGACACAGAGACAGACACACAGGGAGAAGATGGCTGTGTGAAGACAGGCAGAGACTAGAGTAATGCAGCCACAAGCCAAGGAATGCCCAGGGCCACCAGAAGCCACAGAGCCTTCAGAGGGAGTGTGGCCCTGCCCACACTATGATGTAGGGCTTCACGCCTGCAGGGCTGTAAGAGAATACATTTCTGTTGTCCACCTAGTTTGTGTGCTGGGTTTAGAGAGGTGCTCAGAAGAAACCTGGGGTCGCCCTTGGAAGCTTTGGGTCACCAGGCTCCTCTACACTCTGTACTCCTATCTCCTATTCTCTGTACTCATCTCCTCCTACCCTGTGGCTTTTTAAAGTAACAGGAACATTTTTGTCTACGTTTCTTTAAAAATGGTCCTTCGGCTGGGCACGGTGGCTCACTCCTGTAATCCCAGCACTTCGGGAGGCCGAGGCAGGCGGATCACCTGAGGTCAGGAGTTTGACAGCAGCCTGGCCAATATAGTGAAACCTTGTGTCTACTAAAAATGCAAAAATTAGTCAGGTGTGGTGGCGGGCACCTGTAATCTCAGCAACTCAGGAGGTTGAGGCAGAAGAATTGCTTGACCCTGGGAAGCGGAGGTTGCAGTGAACCGAGATCGCACCATTGCACTCCAGTCTGGGCAATACAGCAAGACTCCATTTCAAAAAAAAAAAAAAAAAGTCCTTCAGTGGACTTTAAAGTGGCCATCAGATACTAGAAAATGACCAGCATCAATAGGCTTGAATTTAAAATTATGGCAAAAATTAACTGTGCAAATTAAGCAAACAGAAGGTAAATTATGGGAAGGGTCCTTCCTGTTGAGAAATAAGTGTTAAACTATTTATTTGTAAGAATGAATTATTAAAGAAAACGAAAACGCTCCTAATAAAGCAAAGACAATTCACCTCTTGTTTCATGTGCTCAGCACAGCTATTTTAATTAATTAATAAAGACAGGATCTTACTATGTTGCCCAGGCTAGTCTTGAACTCCTGGGCTCAAGTGGTCATCCCAAATTGGTCTCCCAAAGTGCTGGGATTACAGGCGTGAGCCACCGCACCCACCCAAGTCAGTGATTCTACAAACTGTCCCAGGCCGGGGGTGATGGCTCACGCCTGTAATCCCAGCACTTTGGGAGGCCCAGGCAGGTGGATCGCCTGAGGTCAGGAGTTCAAGACCAGCCTGGCCAACATGGTGAAACCCTATCTCTAATAAAATACAAAAATTAGCTGGGCGTGTTGGTAGGTGTCTGTAATCACAGCTACTTGGGAGGCTGAGGCAGGAGAATTGCTAGAACCTGGGAGGCAGAATTTGCAGTGAGCCAAGGTCACAACATTGTACTCCAGTGCCTGTTTCAAAAAAAAACAACAACAAAAAACCGTCCCTGCCACTAACTGGCAGCCTTGATGTCCACTCACTGCCGGGCTCTCTGCCTGTTCTCCCTGAACAGCTGTTAACTTGTCCCACGCAGTCACACCTACCAGTGTTCCTCTCTGGCCAGGCTGCATCTACAACCCTGGCAAGGGGCACCCCCTCCAGTGACTGCCTGCCTGAGGCCCAGAAGCCCAGAGGCCCATGGGCAGTGAGACGCCCTAGCCTTTGCCTCCTGCCTCAATGTGCAGACTCTCCCTGAGCCTCTGCGGCTCTGGCCCAGGTATGGTCACTCCTTCTCAGGCACAGTCTCAGACACCCTCCAAAACTTCTCTCAAAGAGTTATTTACATTTCTTCCTAGTGTCTTGGAACAGAGAAAATGTAGCCAACATCAGGGTCTATGCAAAAGAGCACGCAGAGCGGCCCGAGACTGCTGTCCTTAGGAAGCCTGCTTGCCAGGAAGGCCCCGGGCTGGCTTCCAGGCATTTAGGTGTCAGGAGGCTTCCTACCATTCCCTAAACGATGGAAGTGGCTCAAGGTGCCTAGATTGAACAAACAATGTGGTGTGTGCCACACCCCTGCTTTCTTTCTGGGAGTCTGGAATTTTGGTTCATGCCAGGCAGAGGGCTCCCATATGACACTCTGGTGGCTCAACACAGAGCTGGCAAGACAGGTCTGAGCTCTAAGTAAGAACATGATACCAGCTGTGTTGGTTCCACTGGTACCACCGCTGACCTGATGTGGAAGTTAAGAGGTTCTGGACCCAGAGACCGGGCAGAGCACGGTGGCTGGGGCTTAGCCTCAGTAGCCAGGCTGCCAGAATTCCAATCCCTGCCTTGTTTCGTATTAGTTATGAGACCTCAGCCAAACAACCCATTTGGGCCTAAGCGAACTCATCTATAATACTGGGATCATAACAACCTACCTCATAGAGACATTGTGAAGACAAAACAAATACAGGAATAGTGCCTGAAACAAATGCAGGGACTATTAATATTAAGAGCTATGATTAGTAATACTGCAGCCAGGCCTGTCTGCCTAACGCCCGCTTGCAGGTCTGAGCCCGCCAGCTGAGCTCTTCCACACACTGCTCCTGACCACCGGTGCCTCTCTCGCTCCAGGCTAAATATATCCCAGCTCTTCCAGGAATCTGTAAGAGATGCTTTCCAGGCCTCTCACCATCTCAGCCTCAAGACAAACTGTTTTGTGACAAAATTCTTACAAAATGCAAATGAGAACTGACTGTGGCCAGTAGCCTCCCTCTGCCCAGAAAAAGCAAAGGAAGAGTGAGGGTTTTGTGTGTGAGGGAGTGAGCAAGTGTGAGTGTGCAAACACCTGGACCACAACACTCATCTTTGGGAGGAGGAAGGCCACGACTGGCTGGCTCTATCCACACACCACCAGCCTTCCTCCTTGGGCCCCACTTCACCTCCTTCCCCCAACCACTGGAGAAAAGCTTTCTGGCCTGACCCAGGACTGTTGTAACCGGGCAGCTTCCTAGCTCACGGCTGCACATTGGTCCTCCTAACACACCCTTCCACAGTGTCACTAGCCTGGCACAAAAACTGCAGCTTCAGTGCCTGCTGGACCTGCCCCTCTCTCACTGTCCTTCCCAGCCTAGACCTGCTCTCCCAGTGGGCTTCAGGCTCCGGCTCCCAGACCAGACCCTGCCCCAGGGCCTCTCAACCTGGAGGCTGTGCTCACATCCCCCTGGGCTTCTGGGAACCCTCCCTGCTCCTCTCCACCTGACTGTGACCTACCACTCCCCAAGGTCACCCCTGGCCACCTTCTCCATGAAGCTACATGGTGTGAGGATATTCCCCTCCCAGAACATCAGATCTGAAAGGTCAGCCCAAACTCCTCACTTTACAGAACGGGAAACTGTGGTATGAGGAGGCCCTAGGATGGGGCCATGGGCATGTCTGAGCGAGGGTGTCCCTGGGCTACTTAACTGTGCATCCAGACCTGAAAAGGACACTTGACTGTCCCTGCCCAACAATATCCAATTTGCCTGGCCTCTCCCTTCTCCCCAAATGCTTAGGGGCACTAATGATACCAAGGGCCTGGCACTGTGTCTGCTCTGCCTAGTCACTCGCTGCCCCCCATCCATGCTGCCTCAGACTGGCCAAAGCTCAGGAGCCACCACAGTTGCAGAACTGGCTCCAGGTGCCCATTCAGAAGGACGTGCAGCAGTTGCTGGTATCAGTACCAGATACCTGATGCCTCGCTGGTACCAGCACCAGAGTTTCCTGGCATCGTCACAGCCCACACAAAACCTAGCCCAAACGGTGCCCAGGCTATCACAGCCTGGGGCTCTCCCTCCAGTTCTCCGATCTAAAAGCCTTACCTGGAGGCTTCCCAGGACAAAACTTGGGGTTTGCTCTATCTTCTGTTTCTCCCCATTTCCACGTCCCCAGGCCCCGGGATCCAGGATTCCACCAAGAATAGAAGTATGAGATTTACTCACTCCTTCCGAGGCCTTCATGCCCACTCTACCAGAATAACTTGTAATGAAAGAAGCCACGACAAGGGGGTTTCCCCAGGTGGAGACTGGGCCGTGGGTACCCGGGGGCGGAGAGCGGCAGAGAGATTGTCCAAGGACCTGAACTTCCCGGCACGAACCCCCGAGCATCAGGCCTGCCCCGCCTCGCCCAGTCGATCCTGAAGTTGGGGGCGGGGGGGTCCCAGCTCTTTTTCGCCCTGCCGCCTTCGGGGCTGCACTGCGCCGAGGGGTCCGCGCGTCCGCCTGCCTTACCTGGCGCGCCATCCCCGGGCTCAGCCTCCCCGCCACTCCTCAGTTTCCGGCGCGGCCCCTGGCGCGGGCGCGCGCGACCCTCCTCGGCGGCGCCCAGGTCCGCGCAGGAGGAGGCGGGGCCGGGGGCCTGGGCCGCGGGGGAGGGGCGGGGGTGGGCGCGACCAGGCCCGCCCCCGGCCTCGTTGAGCCCGCCCCGCGCGCCTCGCGTCCCTTGGCGGGTGGTGCCGTTTCCGCCCGGGGGCCGGCCGGCCGGCTGGCCGGTGCAGGCGCGGACTACACTTCCCAGAAGGCGCCGCGGCGCCGGCTCGGAAGCGGGGGGCGGAGACAGGGCGGGGCGGGGCGTACCTGGCTCCGGCCTCGTCCCCGTCCCCTGGCCTCGTCCCCGTCCCCTCCCCTCGTCCCCGCCCCCAAGTGCGGGCAGAGGTTGCGCGCCGAGACCCGCCGGGCTGGCTGTGGGCGTGGAAGCCCGCGGGTACGCGCCGCGCATCACTCATTCATTTCCCGCAGCCACCACTGAGCGCGTCCCATGTGCCATGGGCTGATGGTGGGGATGACAAGGGAGCCGTCTTTCCCAGAAGCCGCGGTCGGGGAAACCCGACCCGGAATGGAAGGGGTCGAGGGTCCTGCCGGGCGTGGGTGGGCCACAGCAGCTGCCAGGCCCCCGCGCATCCTCAAGTCTTTCGCCCGCGCTCCCGCTTGCCACAGCCATGACCTACCTTCGTGTCGCATTTTGCGTGCCTGTTTGCTGGTCTGGTAACCCCAGTTATTCCTGGCACGTGGTAGACCTCAAATAAACGTGTGATGCGGGAAGGCAGCGCGGCCCACCCTCCTCTGCCTCCCCCTGCGTTTCCCGAGTTCGAAGGCCTGGTCCGGGCGGACGAGACGAGAGCGGGGCTCTCCGGGGGTGCGGGCGAGGCGCAGCAAGCCTCGTTTTCCTGTTTGGAGAAGGACCGGGTCATTTTTATAGAAGGCTCCTGGAAGGGGGCCTGCGGGGCTAAGCCTGCTGTGCCAGACAGAAGCCTGGAGGGGAAAGGAAGCGTGTGGTCCCACGCAGAGGAGACTCTGCTCTGAGTTTGGAAGTCCCGTCCAGACCCTACGGCCCAGAGAGCGCTCTGCCTGGCAATATCGGAGGGAAGGAAAGGGAATTCCTCGCCCAGCCGCCCAGGGCTGGCCTTTGCAGCTGCGCCGACTGTGATCACCTCCCAGAACTCGGGTACTATGCCGACTACCCCTCGACCAGGCCTTTGAGGAAAGGCGCGCGCCCACCCGGGCAGAGCCCCCTCGGTCATGCCCGAGACACCTTAGACACAGGACCGGTGTGTGCGCAGCCTGCTGAACAAGGATTTGAAGATATCACAAGGCCCCACTTCGCAGAAAGGGGAAACTTGAAAGTCCAACT